AGGTCCCATGTCATGCTTCTCTGGTTATTACCCGTCCCCTTGTGTGTTATGAAGGTTTTTCTGCATGTAAACGGTCTGCAGAGTCACAAACCCTCAAAGTACACCCTGTAGCGAGTAAAACTCTAACACAGAAAAGACCTGTCTATGCTGCTCCAGAACGCCTCGTTGGACATTTCTCTTTTTCCATTTTTTTCTTCCGGGAACCAAGTGACGTAATGACGACCCCTCCGTGGATTGGTCAAAATGGACCAATCCACGGACTTCCTCACACACACACCGTTCAATCTTTTCTCAGCTGCAGCTCCGCCGATTTCTCCTCCCTAAGACGGCGGGACGCGGCGCGGCAGTGAGTCGGTGTGTGAGCACACACACAAACTCCCAGCCAGGCTGCGGGTGTGTGTGTGTGTTCGGGCTGGGTTCCGCGGTGTCTCGCTGTCTCGCAGACGGCCACTGGGCTCATAGGGAAGGGGGGGGGGCAGGAGCTCCAACAAGCCGTTTAGGACAGAGAGTGAATACACATACTATACAGAGATGCTGTATGAGAAACCAATGTGAGTTTGGAACATTGAACACTGTAAATCTATTCTAGTAGACCTCAACAATGGAATTATGATCAGTAGAAATGGTCATGACATGGGACCTTTAAGGTGAAAAATGTTCATTTTTTTGTGCATGGGTCCCAACCTGAGCGTTTTAGTTTCACTCTCTACACCCAAAGTTTATTATTTTTGATGCAGACACTCTCACAGAACCACTGCTGTCCAGACATTTGAAATACAAATGGCACTTTTTTAGGATTTTAAACAATTAAATCACTGTTACATGGTGGATTCAGCAGATCCTCATGAATGCAGTGATGTTTTGCAATCAAATCCAACTATAAATGTGTATGGCAGTCTGACATCAATGTATTTTAAATGTTATATGGAATAAGGAAGTCTTATTTTACAAAATAAGAAGAACACTTTAAATGAATCCCATGCGGCATCCTGTCCGACCGTTTGTAGCACTGTAATGATAAATATTGTATTTTTTAGATGCCTTAATGTATTTAGTTATGAGTTTTGAAAAGTAGTAAAAGTGGAAAACACTGCTGGCCATAATTGGCGACGTTTTTTTCCCGTCCGTATCTAAAAATGCGTCGGATTTTCTCACCCTAAGTACATGCAACACTTATTGCTGTTAGGAAATTGGATATAAATTGGATAATGGAGTTGATGATTTCGAAAACACACATCATTTTTGTTCACATACGCTCAAATAAAGGCTGAAAATAAGATGATTACACATAGAAATGCAACAATAATACAAGAAAATGACAGAACAAAATAACATTTCCTCCAGTGTACAGTGAAGATTCACAAGGGGAGTCTCTTTTCTTCGACACAAACAAAGATAGCCGCCAGAAAATGTTTAAATTAATGTAAAACGAGGCTTATAAAAAAACATGTTTGATTGGAAATTGGAAATATCTTTAGACTCTCCAAGGGGTCTTTGATTTCTTTTTTCAAAACACTTCAAATTTAAACTTTTTAAAGTATAACAATGACATGGACGCGGGAAGGGGGGGTGCTGAGGGGGCTGCAGCACCCCCATCTGCGAGGCTCCACTAGTACCCGCACCCCCCAGCGCGGCGCACCTACAGTGTAAGCACGCCACAGTTTCTCCGCTGCGAGACGCTACTAGCACCCCCCCGCCCCATAGTTTCTCCGCTGCGAGACGCTACTAGCACCCCCCCGCCCCAGCGCGCCACAGTTTCTCCGCTGCGAGATGCTACTAGCACCCCCCCGCACCCCCAACTCTGACTGACTTCCCACGTCCCTGAACAATCACAAAAAAGGCATAACCAGAGGCAAGTTTTTTTAGTTTTTCTTCCAAATGGAACTAGTAAAGTGTTATGAATGTGGGTAATCTCTATTGTTGTCTTAACTCATAAAGATGCCAGGATGTTGACACCATCTAAGTGTGTGTGTGTCGGTGTTTCATCACACACACTCTGAAGTGTTTCTGCTCATCTGGAGATCTCATTACTTCTCAGCACATTGTTCTCTCCATCTCCATCTTTTCTTTCTGGATTTCTTAACCCCCTTTTTCCTCTCTAACTAAGGTTGTTTCCCAGGCTGCGCTAAACAGGAAGTGAGCACAATGTGTTGGAGAGATAACACGGACAGGAAGGGGCGGGGCTTAACTCCAGATGGACAGGAAGTCAAGTCCCACTGTTTGGTTTCAGCTGATTAGAGAGGGAAAGATAATGGGGGAGGCAAACAGTGAGAGAGACAGACTGAGAGTGAGCTGGAGGAACTCGCTGCTCTTAAGTATTTATATGAAAACCCCCACAGGAAAACATTTTAAAGGGCTTCCAGCTATTGTGTCCGTCAAATGGCCGTCCAAGGAGGCCGGAGTTTTAAAAGAAAACAAGTTCAAGTCCAAACAAAACAAGAGTAAACGGGAGAATAAATAAACGTTATTCTCTAAACTGCAATTAAATGTAACTGTCTTGAGGATACATGGTTGTGTCTTTTGAAGAATGATGAATTTAAATAGACAACTGGACTGTTTTAATTTAAATAGGTGCTATTTTACAGTGATTTAAAGGTGTAAGCACTAACAACAAGTGACCTTTTTGCTTTATGACCTTTTATAAATGATGAATTCAGTCAAAATGTCCCTTGGTATTGTTCTGCTACTGCCTTGCCTTGGAAAACAAGCGTTCAATTGTAACTGAGAACCTTAAGATGTAATGTAAGGGAAAAGCCACGATAAAGCTCAAACCAATAATCAATCAATAAGTGATTAAAAACATATCATTTAAAACTATTTTGTTAATTAATTCAGTGTCTGCATTGCTTTTCGGACATAATTGCCCGACATTTTCTTGCTTCCAGCTTTTGAATTATAATTTGGAACTTTTTTTCCATTTGATCTCATTGAAAGATTTGTTTACATTTTACAACAACTAAATGCATTAAAGGATAAGTACAGCTCCAAGGAGTGTCTTTCATGGATAGCTGTATAGTTTATACCACGTTGCTGCTGTAAAAGTGTAGAAACTAGCCTAATAATAACTTAATAAAGGTTTTTTTGATGAATCACTAAGCCCTTATAAGTGTGTCTTATTGTTAGATTGGACGAGCTCCAGTAAAGACATAATAGTTGTTGAATGATAATCAGCGGTTTTCTATAAAAAGTGCTAAAATCCTCTAAAGATTGGCATGTTTTTTGTAGAGTTTTTGTCCGGACAGTAGCCAAAAAGGATGAGAGGTTAAAGCTATTGAAGCCACCTCAGAAGCTCCTGACAATCCGTGTTTCCGGAGCTTTTCCGAATGACTTTTGTTCCAGTAGGCCTCAGAGAGTTGGGATTTCATCTGAACAATAAACCGTGATGATAGGTTCTGTCAAATAAAACCCCGGGAACACGCTGTAATTCTGTCAGAGCAGCAGCAGTGGAGCCATTTCCTCTCAGTCTGGCTTTCTGATGGTTTCCTCCTCTTAGATTGACTGGGAAAATAACCTAAATTACTTAGAAAATTCCTATTATAATCAGTCATAAGGTTTCTACTTTAGAAAATGGGAACAGCGGTCCAATTCAGGAACTTTCTGTTGTGCTTATCTTGACTTTTTCTTACAACTCGTCACACCTTAATGTCAAGAATGCTGCGATATTGCTTTAAGGGAAATGTAGTGGGAAGAGGGAATATCACAAATAACCCACTGGACATCACAGACTGATAACTCTCCATGAAGATTTGGTTTCTTTATCAGAAAAAAGCACAAACACACAACCGGCCCCCTTGCTGTGATCAAACACTCGAAACCTCTTTGAGTTTTAAAACTCTTGTGGAAACATTTCACCTCCAACAATAAACCCCTCAGGCGGTTCGTATTTACAAGTCAAATCAGATCAAAAGTAAAATCAACTCGTTCTCACCGTGTTTATGGCCCTTTTGTCAGATATCAAAGATTGAAGAGATTACAGGCCGTCAACACCAAAGAGAAGACGGGTATATTATGGCAACACCAACAAGGAGCTGATTTGAAACGCATCATTTTGCATCCCCAATATGATGAAAAGGGATATATTTTAAACTTCCATTGAGTCAAATGTCAATATGTGATGTGTGCTTATGTGTATTGACCTACATTTACCCCATGTGACATATTTCTGGTTTCATGATCTTGAAAAACTACTTTAATATTAAAACAAACAAAAGTCTTAAAATTGTGAATTTGAATGGAAATCAATAGCCCATAATCAGGAATGAACATGGTTAAAATGTTTAACTCAGTAAATGTGGAAAATATTATAAATATATGATATTTTTCTGCAGTTTTTGAGATATTTTTGTCCTCTATTGACATGAGATTAACATTTTTTTTAAAGGGATGCACAAGGGTTAATATATAGAGTAATGTTTAACCCTCCTATTGTCTTCGTGTTCTCCCCTTACTTTGGTGTTCGGGGTCAAATTTGACCGGTCCTGTTTTAACTGCTATTACATTAACACAAAAACCATTAATCATCACCAAATTTCATTTAACACCCTTTCAAACTGTAAATATTGTATCAGACTACTGGTATACATGAAAAACTGCAGTAAATATACAAAGAATAGACACTGAACATGTATTGCGTGTGCCAGGTGTGATCCATGTGGGGGGATGGGCACATAAGAGCGGGACATGTATCAAATTGTTCTGTGTGTGTGTGTTTGTGAGTGCCAGGTGTGATTCACATGGGGGGGATGGGCACATAAGTGTGTGTGTGTGTGTGTGTGTGTGTGTGTGTGTGTGTGTGTGTGTGTGTGTGTGTGTGTGTGTGTGGGTGTTTGTGTGTTTTATCTGATCCGGATGGTTACTAATTCCTTTTCTTTATGGCGGTCATTTTTGACCGGGAACACCATGGGTGTTACAAAGTTGACTAAATCATCCAAAGTTCAATGGAAGTGTCGATCAGCAATTGTATATGTTCAAATGTCTACTGTGAAGGATATCATAAAGCCTTAATGCAATCGAATGTAAAACAAAAAAGTTATGATTGATGAAAGTAGTAAATCGGTCAGATTTGACCCGAACACAACAGGAGGGTTAATTGAAGACTGCGTGGTTTTAATGTAGAGTTTTTTGGTAAAAATAAGTCATGTGTCCATTTTAAGTTCTCCAAATGTAGATAGAAATATGCATCATTGGTATATGTAGATAGATAAAGGTGCATAGAAGGAACTAATTTAAAAACAGACCCAAACATTAACCTGCAATCCAGTCAAAAATGGAATGCAAAATGGTTATGCACAAAGGAACTAAGACATTAATTAAATGCGAAATGACAAAAAATAATTGGTATAACTGAGAAATAAATCTCCGGCCAGCAGTGACCTGATTAACCCGTCAATTATCCAACGTTAACTCGCTGTGGAGCTTCATCCGAATGGACTCGCAGGTCTTCTCAGGTGAAATAAAAGGGTTATGGTGTAGAAACTTCACAACACCGTGACGGAATAAAAAAAACATCATCCTCCTCAGGGTGTAAATCTCACGCTGTCACCATCAATCAATCCTCCTGCACACGTGTGAAGCAGTTACTTCTCACTTTCTCTCATGGCGTGTGATCTCTTTGAAGGAGGAGGCAAATGTCAAACTCAAAAAAGAAGAAGAAGAAGAAAGAGATCTCCAAAAACAAAAAGAGATTGAAGCTCTCGGACAGCGTCAAAGCCTGCTTCTATTCGTGTGTGAGTGTGTGTTCCTTGCATGCTTTTGGCTATAGAGTGGTGCAGGAATGAGTCCTTAAACCAGGGAATGAGTCAGCATTTTACCACTTCCTGTTCCCTCATCTCGAAGTCAATGGTTTTGTTTTACTGGTTTTTGGTTAGAAGCCAGAAATTAGGTCTAAATAAGACTACTAAACTGAATATTAGCCACCTTTAGCTTAGCGTTTAGTTAGTGTTGACGTGAAGTAATTTGACCGTGCTGTAGCTAGCGTACGTTAGCTTTTTGTTAGCTTCTTGTTAGCTTTTTACCTCTGGAGATTGCATTTACGCTTTAAAAATCTTAAAAGTGGTGTCAAAATGTGGCGATATCCTGCTGAACACAACGTGAATGGGTTTATATTTCCAAATCGAATAAAAAAATCTGATTGCTCTTAGTAGATGGAGCTCCCTTGCGATGTTAACTTATGTAAAAAATATGTCATCCCTGCACCACTCTGTGTGCATTTATGGCTGTTTTTTGATGCGTTTCGTGTGTGCATTTTGGCATATTCTGATCCACTAGAAGGTCTCTATCTAGTATTGATGGTAGTATTCAGGTCCGTCCACGCCGTACAGCTCGGCGAGGGTCCTGAACCTCGGACCCCAGTCGTTCAGGAAGTCGTAATCCAGGTTGGATCCGGTGGAGGAAGTTCCCAAAGAGCTCAGGCTTTCGGCTAAAGACTCGGGACCCTCGTATCCGTAGACGTGCAGCGTGTCGTACGGAAAGCCGTCCCTGTCGTGATCCGCCTCGTCTTTCTTCACCTCGATCATCACCGCCATGTCGCCCTTACACGCTGTGGGTGGAGCGAGGTGGTGGTGGGGGGGGGCCTTCTGCACCATGGCGTAGAGGGAGGGGTGCTGGTGGTCCGGGTGGCGGAGCAGGGAACCATCGTGACAGGCGGAAGAGAGGATCGAGACATCGTAGCTGAAAAGAAAAAGGAATCAGAATCAGAACTAGAAACAGTGAAATGTTCACAAAACGTAGCAGCCTGCGACTACGTGAGAACCGTACTAGCCATAAAAAAATATCCAATTAGTCTAATAAAGTCCATAGTCTCGAGAACCGTTTAAACTTGTAATTTTGGTTCTACGTTAAAGTATGCGGAATCTGTATGGGGTCAAAGTGGGGTGTTTTTTAGCTCTGTTCGAATGGATTTCCCATTCATTCCTATGGGGCAAATGATCATTTTGTTGGGTGAAAATGGCTAGGCGAATCTCTTGTAAAAAACTAAGAAAAAGACCAGGGGAGACCGAGCCTTCTCAGCGGTAGCCCCCAGGCTCTGGAACGACCTGCCCCCCATGTCAAATTGTCCCCCACTCTTCAAACTTTTAAGTCCCGCCTAAAGACCCACCTCTTTTCCCTCGCTTTCGAGCTATACCTATTTGTATGCTTTTGTGTCTGTTCATAGCCTTTATGTGCCTTGTATCTGTTCTTATGTGTGCCTTTTATCTATTCTTGTAATATTATATTTTGTTATAATGTTATGGTCGTTGTGAAGCACTTTGGCAAACCCTCTGTTTTTAAAATGTGCTATAGAAATAAAGTGGATTGGATTATAAAAGACATAGCAACCCGATCCCGGTCATTCCGCGCGTTTTTATGTGTTTTTTTGAGTGTTTCGTGTCAACGCTGCCGGACTAGTAGCATGAAGTGAGTAATGGAGAAGTTTTAAACTTAAACGGATGCCCGAGAAAATCTTTTATGTAATTCTATTTAATTTGAAATAAAATGAAAGACATTCACAGTTAATGTAATTAGATATACATTATTAATGCCATACATTTTTGCATACATTCACAGTCAATATTTCTTCAGTATGATAGCTGTCTATAGAAGCTAAATCCATTTCTCACTTATTCTGACAATGTACTGAACCCAATAAAAGGACCAGGAGTTGTTCAATAATAGTGAAGTCACGTTGTAATAACAATAACTCATCTCTCTCAGTTTTTTCTTTTTCTGCTTTGCCAAACACCACTGTGTCAAGTGTCCTATTTGGGTTGCCGTATGGAGTTGTCCAATATGGCGGACCATTTCGCACATGCGCAATGTGGATCGGGTAGGGATGCGGATCGGGTAAGGATGCGGATCGGGTAGGGATGCAGATCGGGTAGGGATGCGGATCGGGTAAGGATGCGGATCGGGTAGTCACAAACAGTATGCTGGCGTTATTATGATGGTGTGTAGGGATTATGTGGTTTTAGTACTGTTTAAATATGGATAGGATTAGATTCAGATGAGATTAAACTTTAATCATTTCTTTTTCGCAAACTGGGTCATCAAATTGACAGATTAAGCAAAATGATATAAATATTGCATATCAGAGAGGGTTAATATATAGGGTATGAGTTTGTGCAAGATATAAATAATAGCGCTAAATCAAATAAGAACATTAATATAAAGAAGTATTTAAAAACCTATAATTACAATAATGATAACCATACAATTCATAATAATACAATTATAATAACAATAGTAATAATAATGATAATAATATGAAAAATAAAATAATATAACAATAAATAATAATACAATAATTCTAATATAATAATAATAATTTCAAATCAATTATATAATCATATAAGCAAAATATCAATATAAAAACTAAAAAGATGCGTGAAATATCAAATTTAATGTAGAAAGAAATCACTTTTGTTTTATTTCTATATATATTTCTTATAATAATTACACAACAATAATAAAAAGTGTTTTTTCTTATATATTTTTTTGTATCGACTTACCCATTAGTGTCCATCTCTCCTCCTCCCTCTTCATCGTACGTGACGAGCTGCTCGTGAATCTCCCCGCTGTTCTTCATACTGGCCAGAGAGTCCTTCTGGTAACGCTTCCTCATCACAAACAGGATCACTATGACTGGAAAACAGCAGACATTTTGTTTATTTAACCCTCCTATTGTCTTCGTTTCCCCCCCCTTACTTTGGTGTTCGCGGTCAAATTTGACCGGTCCTGTTTGAACTGCTATTACATTAACACAAAAAACATTAATCATTGAACACCCTTTCAAACTGTACATATTGTATCAGACTACTGGTATACATGAAAAACTGCAGTAAATATACAAAGAATAGACACTGAACATGTATTGCGTGTGCCAGGTGTGATTCACATGGGGGGATTGGGCACATAAGGGGGGGAACACATCTAGAGAGTGTGTGTGTGTGTGTGTGTGTGTGTGTGTGTGTGTGTGTGTGTGTGTGTGTGTGTGTGTGTGTGTGTGTGTGTGTGTGTGTGTGTGTGTGTGTGTGTGTGTGTGTGTGTGTGTGTGTGTTTTATTTGATCCGGATGGTTACTAATTCCTTTTCTTTATGGCGGACCGGGAACACCATGGGTGTTACAAAGTTGACTAAATCATCCAGAATTCAATGGAAGTGGTGATCAGCAATTGTATATGTTCAAATGTCTACTGTGAAGGATATCATAAAGCCTTAATGCAATCGAATGTAAAACAAAAAAGTTATGATTGATGAAAGTAGTAAATCGGTCAGATTTGACCCGAAGACAACAGGAGGGTTAAAGGTCCCCTATGATACTGTTTTTCATCAATATATTATAGGTCTCAGATATATACAGAACCTGTCTCTGATTGGCTGAAACACCAAACAGATCATTGTAGGATCCCATAATCCCCTCTGTTTCAGCCCTGTTTCCAAAGTGCTGATTCTCTGTCTGTTACTTTAGATGAAAATAAGGAGCCCCTCCCCACGCCCCTCTGAGAGAGATTTGGTTACAAAGAACTCAATGGTGCTCTAGGAGGAGATTCAGGTGATAAGGGGGGGGGGGGAGGGGGGGGTTACCTTGGTTGCTGATTGGCTAATGGTTACACAAGCCAAAAAATCATTATGACATCATAAAGTGGCCAAAATCTGATCAGCTCATTTTCAGACAGGTTTTTATATAAATGAATCAAAAAGAGAGAGAATCTTTGTTCCTGAAACTTTCAGAATCTCTTTCCACAGAGGGGACACATGTTGATGTAGAAGAGACATGAAGAAGAGGGGACACATGTTGATGTAGAAGAGACATGAAGAAGAGGGGACACATGTTGATGTAGAAGAGACATGAAGAGGGACAGTTGAGTAAGAAGAGGGGACACATGTTGATGTAGAAGAGACATGAAGAAGAGGGGACACATGTTGATGAAGAGAGACATGAAGAAGAGGGGACACATGTTGATGTAGAAGAGACATGAAGAAGAGGGGACACATGTTGATGTAGAAGAGACATGAAGAAGAGGGGACACATGTTGATGTAGAAGAGACATGAAGAAGAGGGGACACATGTTGATGTAGAAGAGACATGAAGAAGAGGGGACACATGTTGATGAAGAAGAGACATGAAGAAGAGGGGACACATGTTGATGTAGAAGAGACATGAAGAAGAGGGGACACATGTTGATGTAGAAGAGACATGAAGAAGAGGGGACACATGTTGATGAAGAAGAGACATGAAGAAGAGGGGACACATGTTGATGTAGAAGAGACATGAAGAAGAGGGGACACATGTTGATGAAGAAGAGACATGAAGAAGAGGGGACACATGTTGATGTAGAAGAGACATGAAGAAGAGGGGACACATGTTGATGTAGAAGAGACATGAAGAAGAGGGGACACATGTTGATGAAGAAGAGACATGAAAAAGAGGGGACACATGTTAAAAGACATGGAAAAGTGGATTTTGCATAATAGGTGACCTTTAACACAAATTGTGAATCATTTGTATGTAGGTGTGTAAAAACCCAGTGATGCATGTTTAAGACATTCATAGCTATTGGTGCAAATTGAAGAAATCAACACTTCTACAGTATGAATTAGGCCAGGCAAACCTTAACAGCAAAAAGAATGGGGGCAAGACACAAAGAGAGGAAAGTGGAGCGCTAACGAGGGACTGAAAGTAGAAAACAGAGGGAGAACGAAGCGAGGGGAAATTAGCAGTGGATGGTTGAAGGTGTTTGAGGCGTTCGCCTGGAGCATGAAAACTTTAGATGAATCTACTCAACCAGAGACAGAGGGAAAGAGAAAGAGAGGTGAGCATAACAAACAGGAAGAGACAGTCAGTAAATAAAAGTGGAAATGAGTTCAAAAAGATGAGAAAGAAAGGAAAGGGAAGGAGTGATAAAGAAATAAGGAATTGCAAAAGTAAAAAGAGGAAGAATGTGAGGATAAGAGTCAGCTGCAGGAATTGTTTGCCTCTCTTCCGTCATTAGCAAAAATGGAAGTAGACAAGAAGTCTGCAGAGGAAGAAACTCTGACGGGTCAACAGAGATCTGAACTGCTCACCTCCTGTTCCCCTCGCACAATCAACCCAAAATGTGACCTTTCTTAAACCCCAATCAAGTCAGTTTGTTCCTTAATCTAAAACCAAAACCCTAAAACAAAACAGGGTCAAATCTGAGAAGCAGTTTCTGTTTTGCAAAAGTGATTTTGTAAAGGTCTGTTGAATGAGGATAGTTTAAAACTCTCGGTGCATGTGAGCAGTATATGTGGGAAGAAGATGTCAAAGTTAAACAGGTTTAAAATAATTATAATTAGAAAGTCAGAAGCTAACCCTTAAACAACAGACTGACGTTTGGGAATTTAGTTTTATGATCTGATTCGTCACATAACGTGCAAATCCTTGCCATTATACGCCCAGCAATCGTTCTCAAATAAAGAAAGTTGTACATGTTAAAAAGAAAGCAAAGGTCAAGGAACACAAAACACTTTGAGTACTAGATTGTACACGTTATATAAAGACGTGGTTTTAACAGTATCTTTGCATTTGTTGCATTTATTTAGTCTTAACTTGAAGCTCTCAGCGTGGTGTTCAGTGAACAACCTGGCACTGAACCCCACAAAAACCAAAGAGATCATCGTAGACTTCAGGAGGAATACTACCGACCTCGCTCCCCTCTACATTAACGGCGAGTGTGTGGAGAGGGTCCACACCTTCAAGTTCCTCGGCGTCCTCATCACCAACAACCTTTCCTGGAAGGACAACACCACAGCTGTCATCAAAAAGGCCCAGCAGCGTCTGCACTTCCTGAGGGTGCTCAGGAAGAACAACTTGGCCACTAAGCTGCCGGTGACCTTCTACCGCTCTACCATCGAGAGCCTATTAACATACTGCATCACAGCGTGGTGCGCCAGCTGCACTGAGGCCGACAGGATGAGGCTCCAGAGAGTTGTAAAAGCAGCACAGAGGATCATCGGCTGCCCTCTCCCCTCCCTGATGGACATTTACACCTCCCGCTGCCTCAGAAGAACCAAACACTTTGTTAAGGACAGTTCACACCCCGGCGTTCACCTGTTCAACCTGCAGGCGCTCCAGGTGTATCACATCCAAAACAAACAGACTCAAAGACAGTTTTTTCCCAAGAGCCATCATTGCTCTTAACACCTGAAAGTCATACCTCTTAATCATCCTGCATGTGAAATAAATGTGACTCTGTACATATATACATATATATCATTATTATTATTATTATAAATACATACCTACTGTTATTATTTATTACATTATAGATTTTATTTTTATACTCCTGGAAATTACTGCACTTTATTCCTTATTCCTAAGTATGTATGCTGCGTGTATTTGTTGTCTTATGTTGTGATGTTTTTTGTTTTGATGGCACCCTTGAAAGGGAGAAGCATTTATTGATCTCATTGTACATAATGACATTAAACGATTCTATTCTATTCTAACTTTAAGACGATAAGAAATTGGAGTAAAACAGACAGAGAAAAGTTTTGCCTCTTCTTGCTTACTCTCTGAATTTCAGTGCCCATAGAGAGGAGGGAATGAGGACAAGGAAGCAGGAGAAAGGAAGACAGAAGAATGAAAGGAAACAAATAAGGAGACTTTGGGAGGGAATGAGGAGCGATGATGAGGAGGAGAAGAAGGGTACGTTTGACATTAGATTAGGCCTGGAGCTCGGTCCCGATATGAACCACTTTCTCTCTCTGCGGACGGCAGCATTAGCCATGCCTTTTAGTCGAGGGTGAGCGGGACTAATTTAAGTTTGCCTGGGAAACCAACAGATTAATCTTTTACAACACATGCTCTGCAGTTTAATAAGCTCTGGAGATATCAGACTTAGAGGCTGAGAAATTGTCTTTTTTCTCGTGTGTCAAACCCGACATCTTGTGAGAAAGAAATGTGAATGGGTAGCGGGGTAAATTGCTTTGGGTCCTGGCAGATAATGACAAGTTTCATTAAATAGTTAATCTGGCCTGCGTTTGGGTGGGGGGGGGTGTTTGATAAAGAGAGAGGGAGAGACCCAGAGGGAGAGAGGAAGAGAGAGATGAAGGAGGGGAAAAGGCGCGATAGTGAAGGAGTGTATTAATAGTTAATAGGTTGAGTGTTTGGCGCTGTTTGATAAGCAGACGGCACCTAAAGAGCTGATAAACTCTCCTCATTACCACTCCTATTCTTCTGCTGCTTTTCCCACAATTCCCCTCTTCTTCAACCTCTTTCTGTCTCGCTCCGTCACTCATTCCCTGTCTGCCTTTTTCACCCTTTTCCACCTCGCATATCTAAGTCTAGATATACGTATTTTTTTCCAATCTGTCACTCTGCCTCCGTCCTTCTTATATCTTTAAAGTTATTTGCCTTTCTTCCTCATCCCAGATCCCTCTTGTTTGGCCAACTATCTCTGACGTGCCTCTCATCCAACATGACAAGTGTCTCTTTTCCCCCAGAAAAGAGGAACAGGGGGCGAAGGTATCAAAGAGAATATTGAGCTGAAGACCGCAGGCATTATTTCCACATCCGTCGCTGCATTATTCATAAAAACCAACAACACATGGAGGGGGTGAAAAGCTCCGCACAAAACACAAATCTTATTTATCAGGGAGCAAGGGAAAGTACATCTGTGCCCCAGACACTCAGTTTAGCATCCATCATTGATGCCATCTTCATGAGAAAAGTCTCCTAGGGTTTAAAATGTATTCGTGCACCAACTATTACCAACCAAGAACTCCATTTATGAACAATTTCTCGAAGAATTTGTCTTCTCTGCTCTCTGTTACTAATTCAAATATGAACATTTCACAAATACACATTTACTAGTGTTCAAAAAACCCATAACTTATAATCTTTCTCTCTTTTTGCACTTTTTGTTTTATTCTGACTTAGATTTGTTAACTTTAAAGAGTCCTCTCCTGCTGATGTTCAGGTGTATATCAGTATGTAGTGTCTCTACTTTAAAGAGTCCTCTCCTGCTGATGTTCAGGTGTATATCAGTATGTAGTGTCTCTACTTTAAAGAGTCCTCTCCTGCTGATGTTCAGGTGTATATCAGTATGTAGTGTCTCTACTTTAAAGAGTCCTCTCCTGCTGATGTTCAGGTGTATATCAGTATGTAGTGTCTCTACTTTAAAGAGTCCTCTCCTGCTGATGTTCAGGTGTATATCAGTATGTAGTGTCTCTACTTTAAAGAGTCCTCTCCTGCTGATGTTCAGGTGTATATCAGTATGTAGTGTCTCTACTTTAAAGAGTCCTCTCCTGCTGATGTTCAGGTGTATATCAGTATGTAGTGTCTCTACTTTAAAGAGTCCTCTCCTGCTGATGTTCAGGTGTATATCAGTATAAAACGGTGTATTCCCCCAAGTTTTTGAATGATGATCTGTTGGGTCTTAAAGATGAATTGGCGGCAGCTTGGTGAATTTCTTCTTTGCTCTCTTAACTTCTTATTGCAACACATTTAAACTATCCTAAATCAAAGCAGGAGTGAGTATTCAAAGATACACATTTCCTCGAGGTAACAGGTTGCATCAGTGCAGATTTTACTATTAGTGCAAGAGTTGATGCCTGCCCTAGGATACCTTCCGCCCTCAGGCTTTAGTTTGTTACATCGAAAATCTTTCATACGCAATTATGCTTGCTCCTAAATTACCCAAAATGCAACTCAACCTTGGACAGGTCATTTGTAGATTTGCTGCGTTATGCTAGTTGCCACTAAAATGCCTCAAGTCTCTTTTTATGAAACCTCCCTCTGGAGTCACAAAAAGCTTTTTTTTCAACACCTGTGAACAGACTACAATTTTCAAAGTTCCCTTTTAAAGTGAAAGCCTTTATAGAGAGTCCGTAATGATAGAGCAGCAGCTGGGAATATGGCGAAAGCGTCCTCTGAGAAGTTTTTGGAGAAGATGCTTCAGATAAAAATAGAAACTGAGCGTTCGTAGAAAAGGATTAAAGCCAAAAAAATTGCATAGCAACAATGGAAGAGAGCAAACCTGGGGGAGATGTGGCGAGTTCACCTGCAGGCGTTTATGAACCACAAGACATCACAACTCTGGAGGATAGCAAAGAACAGAGAGCTTTCCCTGGCAGCGATACGCTTAACTTCAAATGTGTGAGCTCATTTGTCAAGGGTTTGAATGCATCAGATGTTCATTCAATTGTAAAAGAAAGTAAGAAATATAGCAGGAAGAAGGGGTTATCTCCCTCATGATGAAAACCCCTATTTCTTTCTGAGGTTTTCCCTTTACTGTAGTGTGTTTATATATATTTGTGTACATGTAAATGGTCTGCAAGGACTCAAATTCCTGTGTTCTCTCCCATACACTCCCCCCATGTTGTTGTATAATGTGGAGAAATTAAGGATCACTCATAGAAAAAGAAACACTGGAAACAAGGACTGTAAAAACTCCTTTGTTTCCCACTATGTAACACTCGCGCTCCTATTGGCTAGCGCTCCAACACATTGTACATGATAGGCTAAGGGTCTGTATCACAACAGAGCCGGCCAGCTAACCAATCAGAGCAGACTGGGCTCTGGTTTCAGACAGAGGGTGAAAAGAGGTGCTGCAGCACAGGCAGTATGAGAAAAATAAAGAGCTTTTTGAACATTAAAGCATGGACCTCATACAAATATAAACCTCAAAATGAACTTAATATGTACTCTTTTAAAGATCATCTCTGAGTAGTGTTGAGCAATGAGTGTTTTCATCAAACAAATACGAAAGGAAAGCAAGAAATATAGAGAAACGTACCCAGTATGGTGAGTATGCAGAGCAGAATGGCTATCAGGGCATGAACACTGACTCCCATCCTGCGAGCACCGGCTTTGCACTGCGTAGGGATCCTCCTGGCGTCACAGCGACACGACTACACAGGAAACAATCACTCAGTCAGTACAATATTCAAATGCAGAGGTGGGAAGTAGTGGAGTACAAATACTTCGTTAGTGTACATTTTCTGGTATCAGTACTTTACTCACTACTTATTTTTCTGACGACTTTTTACTTTTACTTCTTACATGTTGAACACAAATACCTGTACTTTCTACTTCTTACATGTTGAACAGAAATACCTGTACTTTCTACTTCTTACATTTTGAACACAAATACCTGTACTTTCTACTTCTTACATGTTGAACAGAAATACCTGTACTTTCTACTTCTTACATTTTGAACACAAATACCTGTACTTTCTACTTCTTACATGTTGAACACAAATACCTGTACTTTCTACTTCTTACATGTTGAACACAAATACCTGTACTTTCTACTTCTTACATTTTGAACACAAATACCTGTACTTTCTACTTCTTACATGTTGAACCCAAATACCTGTACTTTCTACTTCTTACATTTTGAACACAAATACCTGTACTTTCTACTTCTTACACTTTGAACACAAATACCTGTACTTTCTACTTCTTACATGTTGAACTCAAATACCTGTACTTTCTACTTCTTACATGTTGAACCCAAATACCTGTACTTTCTACTTCTTACATTTTGAACACAAATACCTGTACTTTCTACTTCTTACACTTTGAACACAAATACCTGTACTTTCTACTTCTTACATGTTGAACCCAAATACCTGAACTTTCTACTTCTCTCATTTTCCAAACAGGCTGGTTCCTTTAGTTTGAATGTGTGTTTGGTGGCGTGATCATTATTATTTAGAGTCATTGCGTGCCTATTGATTTGAACACGATCCGTGTATCCATCATTTCCTGGTCTTCTCTAAAGAAGAGGGACCAATGAAAACGTTGTCATGTTGCCGTTGTTCAGCATGGAAACATTCATTAGCTAACAATGACATTATTGTTCTATTAATATAAAGGGAGGTCAGGTACTCTTTAAAACAGCTGCTAGTTATGGGTACTTTTTACTGAAGTACATTTCAAAGCCCTCTTTACTTTGACTTGAGTAAAGAAGTTTAGTCAGTACTTCTACTTTTACCAGAGTATTTTTAAACACGAGTATCTATACTTCTACTTGAGTAAAGGATGTGTGTACTTTTTCCATCTCTGTTCAAATGCATTTATTCAAGCAGTGTGTGCACATCTTAAGAAGACATTGTGACAAAATAAGAGATTGCTGGAAAAAGGCAAATGGTCTCAAAGCGCTTTCACACGTCAGCACATGCATTGAAAATCGAATGAGATGCCTTTGAATCTCTGAATCTCTGAGACCTTTATTGCCAGTTTGGTGATGCTGATCTGCAGGGGGCTTCCTCCGTCACTGATCCTCACATCCAGGCTGTAATCCTTGGGGTCGTCCAGGTTGAACGGCCCCTCTTTCACCATGATGTCTGCTGTGCTGTCTGAAGAAAGAAGCATAAAAATAACCACGGTGAGCGTTATACATGACAACACCTTCGATGTACCTTTCCTCTTCGGCAGGAATCCATGTCTAATTTGTCTGACTCATCACTTTGTCTCAACTAAAGCGGATTTAATGTTCACCCGCTGTCTTTTAAAGTCTATTTATACAGCGAGCGTCTGTTCCGTGGATAAAACAAGATATAAGAACAAGAGGAGAGTTGTTGCATAACTAAGGCTGACAGATCATTTGTGATTATCTGTCACTTTGGTGCATTTAGGATTGGAGACATTTAGGATTATAGATAATGGCAGTACCTTAAAAATCTGAAATCGTGGCATAAATGAGGCCAAACATTTTGTAACTTGCATCAGCATGTTGTTATCTCCTTTGCAGAGAAGAAGGGCATTACAATATAGAAAATATGTCCCCATTGTTAATGCATTGAGGATCAAATGTGGTCCAAGAGGCACCGAAAGAGACTGGCTGTTCATGGCTAAACCTACTATACTTATTCCAGTATTTAACATAATAACAGAAAATTGTATTCCATATATTTGTGAACCAGAAAGCATACAGAGAGATAAAATGTGCCTCTGTTGTAGGTCAGGGTGTATTTGTGGGCCCAAAACACTATTTTTTACTCAGGAAACCAATTTATTTGTTTCACCCCAAACTTTTCTCCTTATTTTTCCATCAGCATTCCCATTGGCACTATATTGGCTATTCTTCCTGGCGTCAACGCTTCTAAAATACATGCATCAGCATACCCTTATCTCTTTGAAAGGTGGGAATATTATGACAATATAGAAAATATGTCCTCATTTAAATGCATTTTGGTCAAATGTGGGTATACAAGTCAATACAGGAAGACATGAAGTTTGCTTAAGCTGGAAGTCAGGATGTAAACACTCATCAAGCCAAACACGAAACTAACAATCAAACAATTCGTCAAAAATGAATGATACACTCTTCAAATAAAGAGTCATTCATGGTAATAAAAGTCCTCTGAAAACAGTGTTTAATTGTATGTTTATCCAGGGTGTCCGCGGGGTCTTAAAAAGTATTAAAAGTTGATAAATCAATTTAGCGAAAATTAAGGCTATTAAAAAGTATTAAACAGCATTTTCCAAGGTATTACATTTTGTAGCTAGTTTTCAATAAGTATATAAATTGTCCAAAGAGGTTGTATTCTACAGTCTGCCTGAATGTAATCATTGCGTAGGTGTGTAGTGTGATTCTGTGTAGTTTTTTTATGGCATCCCGTTGGATTTGACGTCATCTGAACAGGACATCGCACGCTCACTGCTTGATAGCGCGTGAAGGTCCGTTTACGCTGGTTGTTAAAGTGGACCTATCATGCTATATTTGAATGTGTAGTGTAGGACCATACCTATATAAGGCATATTTATACTTTTTTTTTTTCAAAATACCAAACAGATCATGCATTTTAGCCATGCCTCATTTTGCTCAATTTGACAATTTATAGCTCTGTTTTAGCAAGGGCAGATTCTGTGAGAACAGCACCATCTACAGGCCTGGCATATGTACTACAGCGTCTCCAGCGCTTTCGAACGGCAATGGCCGTGGCTGTCTCCTCCTGATTGGTGGAGTTGGCCCAATAGCCGTAGCGCCACCGTCCTGACGTCAGGACAGTGTTCAAATCTGGATCAGTTTTTATCAGATCCGTTGCAGCCCCTTTTTTAGAGATTTGGGGTATGGAGGAAAATAGAGAGTTGTGTTTTCTGACACTTGGTGAGTTCCCTGGAACACCGGGGACACATATTCATGTAGAAAAGACGTACAAAAGTGCATTTTGCATGATAGGTCCCCTTTAAACAACATCGTTATGGGGAAATGCAAGTCTGCGTCCAAATGGTTGGAAGATAAGGAGGAAGGACAATCAATACTGTATATAGTCAATGTGAGGTAAAGTGTGTCGTCAATGTAACCGGTTAAAATTAGAAGTGGCAATGAGGTCTTAAAATGTGTGAAAAGGGTCTTAAAAAAGTCTTAAAAGGTATTACATTTGACTTCAGGATTCCTGCATATACCCTGTAATCTATCCTGGGCTTCCAGACATACTGTATGAAAAGTGGGTATTAAAAACAATTAACACAGAAATTAAGATATTGTTCAAATTGAATCGATCTTTGATATGCTGCTACATCGCAAACATTTCCCAAATTGGAATCAATAAAGTCCGTCTTATCTTTATCTTGTATCCTCGTTGACTATTATACAAAACGTATATGATATATCCACCAACGTTACCAAGTGGTTTCCCGTGAAGATGGAGGTTTATTTCTCAAAGACTGTATGCATGTTACAAGCAGAGAATTACACATTTTGCTTTATATTGGTAGGAACACGCACAGAAAGACTGCACAGAACAACCCTAGCTGTTGAGCTGAACAGAGAGTTGCCGCTGTGCAGACCTGAGCAACAATACAGCCATCACTCAAATCCCCGGAAGAGAGGGGTTTCCTGCTGAGACGATGGAGAGAGCCTTTCTCCACAATATCCCACCGCCGGAGGAATTTCAGAAACACAATGGCAGGAAAAGACCCTCGCAAACACTCAGGCATACCTAGACTCACTGCGTTAAACTCTCAGAAAGAAACGCACAATATAGCTCTGATTTAAGAGAACGTATAAATAAGAAACGTGTGGATGTTGCGGACATTTAGAGACAATGGAGAGTAAATTGGTCTTGAGGAAGGAGTATAAAACTTGGCTCAACATTTCAACATTATTACCTCTGATTCCACCGTTGGAAAAAGCATCAAAGTGATTATTACATTTCATTACATGTCACTTGTTAGACGCTTTTATCCAAAGCGACTTACATACTCAATACTGTGGGCAATCCCCACAGGAACAATTTGGGGTGAAGTGTCTTCAGGGACACAAGGACATGCTGACTGCAGTGGGGTTTGAACCTGTGCCCCCCTGATCGGAACACCAACGCACTAACCCACTGCGCCACTTCGCCACACGCCTTCTAATTATCACTATAGTAAAAGGGGCTTTTAAGGATTCAGTTTTGTTGTTTTAACTAAATAAACAAACTACTTTCTTAAACTGGAGCTCTGGATTTTGGATGAATGGGTCGAATGATCTGCCTGAATACAGTTCCACTATTTTAAGTGTTTTAAGCCCACAAATTAAATCCTATTCATGCAAATGTATTGGAAAATCCAGAAAGTGGCAAATCATTTCTAAATAGGACTATAATCACAACATCATAGTCATTCAGAATAGTAGTAGTAGTTTAACACCAATCCCAGACAACTACTTAAAGGTAGGGTACGTAAGTTTGAGAAACCGGCTCGAGATCGCTAGAATTTGAAAATACACGACCGGAGAAAATCTGCCACTTCCTTACAGAGCCCCTCCTCCAACACACACGAACGCGCACATGACCAATGAGGGCACGAGATAAGTTTGTGCACAGATGGAAGGCTGACAGGCAGGTAGGCCATCCAGTTATTTTAGCCGGGCCGGCTAAAATAACTGATTGGTCGTGTTTGGTCATGATTGGTCGTGCTTTTTACAGTATTACGGCTTCCACAGATTTTTTTATGGATTTTTTGTCACTTCAGATATTCATTGCTATCGGGATGTTAAGAGCATTCCATGGAATATAACAAAAAGTGTATCTCGAGACGGTTTCTCAAACTTACCTACCCCACCTTTAACTACGTCTGTTCGTACAAAACTGCAAACATACCACAACGATCTAACATAATTTTGAGAGGTTATACAACTTCTTGATCTTGGAAAGTACATTTGTGTTGATTGAAAGGTTTTTTATGTATTAAGTGTAATAATTTTACAGAACAACTATTGCTTTAGGAGCCTGTGAGAGGTTTTCTGGGCTTTTGTAGGTTTTCTTCGACAAAAAGCAAATGGTATTCTTCCATTGGATTAAGGATTTTTACAGAAAATATATCTGTGGCAAACACAAGGTATGTTCAGATGGATGATCTCCACCTATTAACACCACCTATCTGATATTTTAAGCTTAAATGCAATCTCCAGAAGCAAAGAGCTAACGTTAGGCTGTAAAGGAACTCTATCGTTCATTCAAATGATCAACGTTTTACCGTGATACCTTGTTTCAACAGTTACTATATAACTTTATTCTATTTTATCTTAATTTTTTATCTTGTGTGAATCCTGTTTTTCACTCTGACGCTGTTGCTGCTATAAACGCCTGAATTTCCCCAAAGGGATAAATAAAGTTCCATCTTATCTTATATTATCTTATCGACTGCTTTCCCCTGTTCAACTTCATACCTAACTAGTACAATTGTGCCTGTTTTGTAAAGGAATAAATGTTCAAACGCACACAACATGTTGACCAATTATTCTTGGGCGTTGATGTTTCTTCCCTGTAGTCCCTGGCAGCTTTTTAGGGATTTCAGACGGCCGCTAAAAGTACTTTAACACATCCAAGAGTTTTTCTGTATACAAGAGAGTCTTATTTAATAGTGAGTAGTCATTGTAACCGTTATCTTCCCTCTTTAGTTTGTCTTTCACCCCACAGCTAAGGTGGTTACTTTTACATTACATTATATTACATGATACTTGTTAGACGCTTTTATCCAAAGCAACTTACATACTAAATACTGTGGGCAATCCCAACAGGAGCAATTTGGGGTGAAGTGTCTCAGGGACACAACGACATGCTGACTGCAGTGGGGTTTAAACCTGTGATCACCCCCTGATCCGAACACCTACAGACAACCCACTGTGCCACACGCCTCCTTTACTACTTCTCTCTCATCCTGTCCTCAAACTGTTTGAATGGCAATATTCAACTGAAGGTAATTAAACTGACCCATTTGATAAAAGCTCTACATGTCTGAAAACTGTTTCTACCGCCACCTCACTGTGAGCATTTGTTGTCACTGAAGGGGTGTGTGTGTGTGTGTGTGTGTGTGTGTGTGTGTGTGTGTGTGTGTGTGTGTGTGTGTGTGTGTGTGTGTGTGTGTG